TCCAAGCCATTTGTGATCGAGGCGGATGCATCGGGCCGGGGAATAGGGGCGGTGTTATCTCAGGACCGCCATCCCATTGCCTTCATGAGCAAGACACTAGCCCCCTCCAAGGAGGCTTGGTCTACGTATAAGAAGGAAATGCAGGCGATTATTACGGCAGTGCAGACCTGGCGGCCATACCTCCTGGGGCAGAAGTTTCACATCTACACTGATCATCAGAGCTTGAAGCACCTCCTCGAGCAGCGGGTGTCTACTCCGGATCAGCACAAGTGGGTATCGAAGCTGCTAGGCTACGATTATGAGATTCACTATCGACCGGGGCCCACTAATGTGGTGGCGGATGGGTTATCGAGGAAGCCGGGCAGCGAGATCCTCGCCGCAGTGACAGGGCCTGTTCCGCAGTTTTGGGATGAGTTACGGGCGTCCATGGAGACCAGTCAGTATTTGCAGGATTGCCGGGAAATCGCAGTGAGCGATAACCCGGGTCATTATTTATTTCGGCAGGGGCTGGTGACGTTCAAGGGTCGAGTAGTTCTTCCTCCTGGCTCGAACCTGGTCACCTCGGTACTTCAGGAGTTCCATGACTCGCCGTTGGGAGGGCATTCCGGCGCCGAGAGGACGCTTCGCAGGATTAAGGGCCATTTTTACTGGCCCAGGATGGCACAGGCAGTGCGAGACTATGTGGAGTCATGCGATACATGCCAGAGAGTGAAGTTGTCTTACCTGCGACCCGCCGGCCTTCTACAGCCGATGCCGGTCCCGGAACGGGTATGGGAGGACATCAGCATGGACTTCATAGTGGGGTTGCCCCCTTCTGGTGGGAAGACGGTTTTGTTCGTAGTAGTGGATCGGCTCACGAAATATGCTCATTTTATGCCCTTGGCGCACCCGTACACGGCAAAGATGGTGGCCGAGCAGTTTGTCTTGGGAGTGGTGCGACATCACGGATTTCCCAGGTCTATTGTCAGTGATCGCGACCCGGTTTTCTTGAGCAGGTTTTGGCAGGAGGTTTTCGCCATGGCACAGACTGTACTACGCATGAGTTCGGCCTACCATCCGCAGACTGATGGACAGACAGAGATAGTTAACAAGTACCTGGAGCAGTATCTGAGGTGCTTTACCCACCAGCAGCCGCGGCAGTGGCTGGCCATGCTTCCTTGGGCGGAATTGTGGTATAACACCACATTTCATAGGTCCATTAAGATGACACCGTTCGAGGCGTTGTATGGGAGATCACCCCCGACATTGGTGCAGTACAGAGGCGGGTCGAGCTCGGTGGATGCGGTGGACAGGTGGTTGAGCGCGAGAGATGAAGCTCTGGAGCAGTTGAGGACTAATTTGGCTGCAGCGTCCAATAGGATGAAGCAGGCCGAGGATGCAGGGCGGCGGGAAGAGGAGTTTGAGGTGGGTGAATGGGTTCTGTTGAGGTTGCACCCCTACCGGCAGTCCTCGGTTTTCAGGCGGGCATACCAGAAGCTGGCAGCTAGGTACTTCGGGCCGTACGAGATCATCCACAAGGTCAACCCAGTTGCCTATCGACTACAGCTGCCTGCAGGTTCGCGCATACACCCGGTGTTCCACATTTCCTTGCTGAAGAAGTACCGGGGCCAGGCGGACAGGGTGACGTCGACGGCTCCTCCGGTGACAGCAGATGGTGACTTGGAGCTCGTTCCTCTCAAGGTACTAGAGACCCGGTGGACAAAGAGAGGAGGGCGGCTGGTGGAAGAGAGCTTGGTGCAGTGGAAGCATGTGGAACCGGACGATGCTACTTGGGAGGAGTCAGAGTTGCTACGCCAGAGATTCCCGGCCTTCGACATCGAGGCCGATGTCGATTCTGAAGGAGGAGGGGATGTAGGAAACCCGACTCCGGGTTAGAGAGAGAGAGAGGGCCGGTCGGCCAAGAGGGGGAGGGAAGGAGTGGCAAACTTGTTATTTTGGGTTATTTCGGTTTACATTACTTAAAGACGCATTTCATTAGTTTTGGGAATTAAGCAATAATACACAGAAACTATCAAATCCCTAATCTCTGTTCTCTCTCTTGTTCTTCCCCAATTCTCCCAAATCCCTAATTTCTTCTCTTCTCAATCCCTAATATCCCAATTGGAATTTCTTGTGTTCTACAGCACCTGAGTGGTGGACGAGGCTGAGGCTTTGGCGGCGGAGTTTGAGGTCTAGCTGGCTCACCAGAACAATGTTCTCAATCCGATCCTTGAAATTGATAGTTTGTAGCTTGTACATAAGTTTGAAGACGCGACCTCTGTCCATACCGAAGTCGGCACAATTTGCAGGAGTATAAGAAGATATTTGATGTCTATGGGAGAGTCGTCTTGGAAGCATGTGAGGCATACAGGAAATGAGGTTGCACACTTAATTGCACAAGTAGCAACGAGATGGAATGATCGTGAGGTTTGGTTTGATAGACCGCCGGTTTATATTATGGACCAGAAATTCCCCTAATTAATATATTAACTCGAAAATTCAAAACCTTCATTTTCAATTCCAACAAGCAACCTTCTGTTTCTCTCGGTTTTCCCTTTTCTCCGTCGTCGCCCGTCGGGCCCTTCCCTTTTCTTCTATCTTCAGTTGCCCGCGTCTGTCTTCCACCGAAATCGGCCGAGCTCGGAAGTAAAAAGCCGACATTCTTTCTCTTCTAATTTAACGAACTTCAATCGAGTCTTTTCGTGTACCATCGCCCTCTTGCAATGCCCTGCTTCAGTTGCGGACACGGATCCCTATGTCGCGACGATACCACCGGGAGTCTGGTCTGCGAGTCATGCGGCACCGTGCAAGAATTCCGCAACTTCGAGGACCGAGCCGTCGGCCCCGGCGGTGTCCAGCAAGGCTCCTACGTCCGCGTTGGTACTTCAGGTACAGGTGGCTCATTGGCATACAAAGAGAAGAAGGTATACGAGGCTAATAAGCTCATAGACGAAATTGCGCTTAGGTTGAACTTGAGTGGTAGATCTCTGAATGAAATTAGGTCCATGATTGATCGAATTACGGAAGGTGAATATGGTTCGGGCGATTGGTTCCATGTACTGATTGGTGCTTGTTCGTATGTCGAAATGAGGATTCAGAACAAAGCTTTTTCGATTGGGGAGGTGAGCGAAGCTGTTGGGTGTGATATTTATGAACTGGGGAGGATGGTCGCTCGGGTGGTTGAGCATTTGGAACTCAGGCTTCCCGAGTTCGATATAGTGAATGCTTTCGAGAGGGTTGTGACAAATTTGGCGACTTTGGGGAGGGTTGATAGTGATATGGTTGGCAGGGTCAGGAAGCAAGGTGTTTTTTTGATACAGTGTGCGATTAAGTGGTTTTTGACTACTGGGAGAAGGCCATTGCCTGTGGTAGCAGCTGTTTTTGTGTTGGTAGCTGAGTTGAATGGGATTAAGGATGTGAAGCTTGAGGATGTGGCGAAAGACGTGAATGCTTCTGTCATCACTGCCCGGTTAAGGTATAAGGAGCTGTTGGAGAAGCTTGTTGAGGTAGCTCAAGCTTTGCCGTGGGGTAAGAATGTGACAGTGAAGAATGTTGTAAAGAATGCTCCACTTGTGATTCGTTATATGGAGTTGAAGTCGACTAATTCACGTGGCAAGGACATTGAGAATTTTGAGACTGCTGTGTTTGATCTGGGAGAAGTTATTAGTGAGTGCTTGAGAAATGGAATTACTTATGGTGCTGAGGATGATGGTCCAGGGGGAACTGATGATCCTCAAAATCCTACGGTAGAAGACGGAATATCAATTGCCCAAATGGGGCAAGCTGATGTAGATAATCTTCAGCTGTCACACGAGTGCTTGTCGATGGCCTATGAGAAGTTTTTGGAAGAAGATGTTGAGAGGTCTGCCAAGGTGAGGGGAGATGTTCCTAGTCAGAGGGAACAGAGAGGGATTGAGGTTTATGCAGCTGAATGGTGGAATGGCAAATCACAATTGAGCAAGAAACTTTTGCTCGAGGAGATATTAGAGAAAGATGTGGGATTGGAAACCATGCCTCCATCATTTGTGAAGGGTTCTCTGGATATTAAGAAAAGGAGAGCGAAGATAAAAGCTGCAAAGCTTCGCCTTAAAAAGGCTGGGTGCTCGTTTAATGCAGCTGATAAATCTGATATCAGAAATACTGACCTGGTGGATGTTGCATACAGCAAGAAAAAGAAAAGGAAAAGGAAGGAACAAACTATTGATTGGGAAGATTTTATCATTGAGGCTCTTCTTGTTCATCAGGTGAAAGAGGTGGAAATTGAGAAGGGGTACTACAAAGCCTTGTTGGGTTTGCATGTGTTTAATTCTGGGATTAATGTAAAAGATTCTGATGTAGGAGCTAGGCTGACCGAACTCGAATGTAGATCTAACGTCTTGAGTCTTGGTCCAACTTAATTGAAGAATCTTCTGACTGATTACTTGTATTTTTGGAATATATATGCTTCTGAACTAGATTAGCTCCAGGACTGTATTTGCATATCATTAGAACTTCAAATCAGAAAATTGTTGTTTTTCTCATCAAGAATAGAGAATAGAGGAACTTACATTCCCTTTACACAATACGTTCTCTCAGGTAGTGACGCTTTTCTCTGTTTTATGGTTAGTGAGCTTTATTTTAGAACTTAGAAGTGAATGGTCTGGACCTAGTTGGGGATGTTCTTGTCATATCCTGAACCATCCCGTTTCCTTCATTATGTCTTGTCGACTCCTAGATGGATCATCTGTTGGGTTGTTTTCATCTCATCCTTGGACCAAAGTTTCAGTGCCTTTAACCGTGTTGAACATGTCAGCTTGGCAACAGGCACAAAGTAACAGAGCAAGGTTGGTCTTCAGAAAATTTTCAATCAGTACAAGTTACAAGGAGAACTTTATTTATAACTGTTTAGAGAGTTGTAGCGCAACTCAAAATGCAGGTGAAACGCTATAAATTTCAAATGCAGCAAATGGATTAGCTATGTTGCAGAATGGGGAAAACATTTTTGCTTCAAGGCAGGCTTGGAGTATGTTGACATGTTGTTATTACTGGCCAGCAGCAAATGCCTCGACTGGGAAAGTCTTGGTGATCCCCGCCAGGCTCTTGAAGTGAATTTTGCCAGTTGGCGCTTCCCCGACAATAATCTCACTAACCGGAGGCCACAGCATGAGTTCTTTGGCCTTGACACCCTTGAGCTTCTTGATGTTCTTGTTGCTGATAAACCCAGTGATCTCTTTGTCATAACTGACACTCTTGCTGATCATCTTGAACACATGCACCACCTTCTGCTTTTGCAGGACCCACATGTAACCAGTTTCCTTGACAAACCCAACTTCAATCACGTCTTCCAATGGGAGCAGCCCATGAGGGAGTTCGAACTCTTCAAGGAGCGCCGCCGCCATTTTCAGCCCTTCTTCATGACCATTCTTCACGACGCCTCCTGCCTTCTCGGCCATTGCTGCTAATATGATCCTTGAACTGATTTCTGTTGAACTGGTTAGTTGCTGGGATGGAATTGCTACCTGGTATGCCACTATGTATAGTGAGGTAGTATTGTGCACTAGGACAAAACTCGGACTGAGAAGCCGAAGTAACTAGCTTTGTTTGATCCTCCAAGTTGGAGATTAGTGGCATTGAGAGGAGACCAGCTGTCTAGAATAGTAGAATCTGGGTTATTGGGTGAGTTATGGCCTTATGGGAGTGCAATACAATGAAGACGTTACATTTTCTTGGCTACTTGAGATGGACAAGGAAATAATCTGAGTTCCCTAAGTGGAAATCTGTCTTCATGGAATTGGATCCTTCCGGTAATGACAGGGGAACGGAAAGTGAGGTTTGTTTGTAGTGCATGCACTGTTGCATCGTAGGTTGTCAAACAGATTTATACCGTTGTGTCTGTTTAGCGAGTGGAATTGTACAATCGATTTGTGCCGGTTCATGTCGACTTTTGGGTTGTTTGGAAGTTGAGATTATTCAAATTGATGTATTGAGTTAATTAGTGTATTATCATTTGATGTATTGACTCAATTGATGTATTAGTAAATTATCTTGTTTGGAGGTTTAGATTGTGGTTTGTTGTAAAGCAACAAAAGGTCAATTTTGAATGATTGTGAATTATCTCAACAAAACGTAGAGATTGATAATCACTCAATTATGAGTGATTGTGGTAGGTCCTCCAAAAAGTTAATGCTTAAATGTTTATACCTAAATCCAACAAATTACATCAACTTTTAACTTTTATATTCATAAAATATGTAATATACTCATTTGTTATTAATTGCATTCACTAAAATATGAAATTTTACTTAGAGTTCGTAAATCAATCATGCCAATCATACCGGTGGGGTTCATATCGGTTTCAAGACTGACACTGGTTGAACAAGGTTCAACCGACCGACATGACAACCATGCATCATAGCCATTTTACTGCTCATTTTGCGTAATCTATCATGGCTTTATAGGCTCCATGATCCCAGTGTTAGCAGCTCATGCCCAAACCAAGCTAATTCGGTGAAGGCGGGTAATTTTCAGTATTGATGGGTTTTGGGTTGGGTGTGGATAGAAAGAATTGACTTTTGAAATTGACGAAATTGGTTGGTTGGGTGTGGATTTGGCCAAAACCTCATTTGTTTTTCACTCTACTTGCACTAGAAAAGAAAAAAGATGTAATTTTGCATTTGTTGGGCCAAACGGAATAACTAAACGAGCCCAGACCCATGGTAAAGGAACTGGCCCAATAAGCAAGGTCAAGGCCCAGTGGAGACGGCGTGGATGAAAAGCGGGAAGCGTCATCGGGAGCGAGAGCGGCGTTCGAAAGCGTGCATAGGGAAGGTGAATCTGATAAGACAGTAGTAGCATTAATCATAGCTACTCCGATAGCATTAAATGCAGCCATAAGAGTAATTACATAAAGGTACATCGGATACATGCTCAGCAGAGCATTAAATGCTCATACCAACTCCCATCAACTATAAATAGAGGCCCAACCACATCATTTAATGGTAACTGAACTGTATACTCTCTATCTACTTTCTCTCTCTAAACATATACTAATTTAAGCATCGGAGAGTATCCGAGGTCCTCGCCTTTGGATCTTTTCTGCAGGGAAAGGAGCACGCTTGCGTCGAAGGAAAGACATAATCTCAACATAAACGGTCTCCAACCCGCTTGGAACTTTTCAGGCTTAAACAATTCGGCGCCCACCGTGGGGACGGGTATTGAAGAGATTGCAATATTTCCTTCGATGGCAGGGGACTCCACCACTCCCCTGAAGGAAGTTATGGAGCCTCGAACACTTCGCGGATTGTCTCCAGTGGTTGAGGACGCTGTGGAGCTTGAAGACCAAGTTAAAAACCACGGGAAGCAAATATCGGAGATGCAGAGCAACATAAACCAGATCCTCTCCCTGATAAAGGAGGGAATGAAAGAGTCAGATAATCTCCTGGAGGCGTCAGGAGGGCGGAGAGACAAGGGAAAGAAGAAGATGGTCATGATTGACGAGCCAAGGGAGGAAGAGATCGAAGATGAAGGACAGGAGGCCGATCTCAGTTTCATGGAAGAGCATTTGCAGTCGAGCTTTAGAAAACCCAATGGAAGGGGAAGGGACCAAGCATCCTACACAATCCATTAGCAAAAAGGCTGTTCAAGAATCCCGTGCCCCCAACTTTTCTTCCCTAGGCCTCCCGACGTATAATGGGGGCGCAAATCCGGGAGATCATTTGAGTGCTTTTACCTTGAAGATGCAGTTGATCAATACCACAGATGCGGACCTGTGCAAGGTGTTCCCGATAACATACCGGGGGCAGTGTCATTCTTGGTACACGTCACTGCCAGAAGGAATCATTGACAACTTCGAGCAATTCTCCACGTTGTTCTCATCGAAGTTTGCATCCTAGATCCGCCGAAGGTTGACAGTCTCCGCCCTCATCAATTGTACGCAAGGGGAAGGAGAAGCGCTGACGGATTTTTACGATAGGTGGAACATCATCGCGTGCGAGGTTCAAGGCATCACGCCCAATGTAGCAGCAAGCAATCTAAGAATGTCAACGTGTAGCAAAGAGCTCCAGAGGGCCTTGATAAAAAGGAGCATGAATTAAACACGTGGTCGGACCTAGACAATCTGGTACGGCGTGCGATAACTCTGCAGGAAGCTTTAAATGCTTCTAACCGAGTGGTGATGGCGAGGAATCAAGAGGGAAAAGGTAAAGGAAGGGAAGTGAGAAAAGGAAACCAAACCCCGCCAAGGAAGCGGCGATCGCCCGAGCGGTATAACTACAAGACGAAAGCACGAGGAGGGGAGAATAGAAGAGATGTCTATGCAGTGGACAGAGAAAAGGAAGGCTTCCAGATCCGCACGCAACTCAAGTTGTTCACTTTCTGAACGCCCCGGGACAGCTCCGCACGCAACTCCTTCATTGTCTCCGTGTACTCCTTCTCCACCTCAGCCTTAGCTTCTGCAAGGAAGACCGCACGACCCTTGATGGACTCAGCTTCCAGCTCCCCAATGCGCTTGCGCAGCTTCGACGCCACGCCGCAAGTTGACCATATGGAGTTCTCATTGGTCATCCCAATCTAAGAAAGACCGACCCCAGCCTGCAAACAATTTAAAGCGTTACTACGAATCACTATTAGGGTAAACGACACACCATAGAACTTTGCGCATAACACTTACAGCCAGCAGGAAACGGGTGGTGGTGCCAACCCAATGCCTTGTCAAGGGTCGTCCACATCCGTGTACTCCGGGGGCACAAGAAGCTTCCCGGACAACTTGTGCAACATGCAACAGGCGCAATCCTCCCGAATCGAGGAATGGGGGGAGAAGGCGACAGTCTCGGTCATCATGGTAGCCTTCACCTTCTTGCGACCCTGATCTGTGTCCTCGGCCGGCGCTTCAGCAACACGCTTCCCAGTGTCCCGCACTTGGCGACCAGTCTCAACGCCGGTGTTCACCGTATAACCCCCGGCCCTACTCATAAGCATGGTCTGCCCAACGATAACAGGAGACTTGATCAGGGGCCCCAGAGTTTTTGCAACCACAAGAAGGGCCAAAGATGAACCGACTTCGAAGCGAAACTGGGTGCATTCCCAGTCTTCGGGACACTCGCCTTATTACTCCTTGGTGGCCTCACCAATAGGGCCACGCTCCCAAAATTCATAGCTGCAAATAAAAAGCGGGTCAATACCATAAATGAAAAGAAAAAACGCTTTAAAATGATAACATACACACTACTGACCATCTCCGAAGAGTTCAATTAGAATGGCTCCCACTGAGTCTAGCCCCTATGCCTCACATTAAATGGAGACAGCTCAGCGAGTTTCAATGCATGATCTTTTTGGGACTCCAGCGACCAAAGCTTTGCATCCCAATTCTCTTTCCTCCGATAAGTAAACCCCGTCATCGGTTCCTTGTCACCCGAATACCACTTAGTAGTAGGCTTCGCATAAAAGAAGTCATTAAACCAAGCAGAATCCAACTTGGGAGACACGGTCACAAATCCATATGCCTTGTCCCACTTCCCAAAAGACCACATGTTAGATACCCGTCGAAGCCCACAAATGAATCGGAAAACAAAAAATGAAGGTTCCTCGCCACTCCATTGGCAAGCGAGCCGATAGCACACGCGTTGAAAACAACAGTGGGAGACAAACGCCCTAGTGTGCAATTCAGACACAGTAGGGTCTGTGTGATGAGAGGATCGAGGGGGAAGCGTAGCCCCAGCTTCAACTGCTCAGTGTAAATCGTCACCCAGCCCTTTGGACAGGTGCCCATTCTCGAGTTCGGAGATGGGGAGGCGTACTTCCAGTCAGTGGGAAGTCGGTGAGTTCGGAGGCGTGTAAGTATAGTAGCTGGTTTAAGCTTGTTATACCTATCGGACCCCCCGGTCAAAGGCGCTAACGGAAATATCGCCTCTCCCCCACATATGCGCATGAAAGCGCACGGAATACCCGTCATCTTCCACTGCTCGATAATTCATTTCTGAGGTGTCTCCAGAAAGTTTGAGGGACGGGGAATCAACCCGCTCGGCAGAGGTCGGATCATCAATGCTGAATCCTTCCTCAGTGCTAACACTCAGCACAAAAGGTCACCAAAATTGGCCAAGTTATCCCTGACGGCGGACGCGTCACCCCTAGCAGCTATAGGTTCTACGCCTAAACTCAAAGTAACATCTGTCAATTCAAAAGAACTATCCCCAACCCTACCTAGCAAAAATCGGCCATTGTCTGACTAGGATCCGCCAAAGTTCACGTCTACCCCACTCAGATACCAGTCAATATCGGACATAGGTCCCAGTCGAGGATCTCTTTCGGCCTGGAGAAGACCCAGAACCAGTGGACGGTGGCAGAGTCGCGTCGGCGTTACCAGCAAGCATCGTAAGATAGCGTCGTTACGAGAAAGCTTTTTTTAAAAAACCCTAGAGGGCTATATAGGTAGTAATGATGGCATTATTCAAAAAGTCTGACAACACGTTTTCCTAAAAACAAGGGAAAAGACGTATCGCCAGACACGCGGCAGTCAAGCAAACGACACAATCCCGAGGCGTGGCATCCCTGATTCGGCGACTGGAGGGAGAGACTCGTATACCGGGGTCTGGGGTCGCTTAGTTATTCCCGCCCCAGACCTAGGAGTCAGCCGCCAAAATCCAGAGGCTTTCCCCGCGTGCGGGACAATTGTTGGGCTAAACGGAATAACTCAACGAGCCCGGACCCATGGTAAAGGAACCGGCCCAATAAGCAAGGTCAAGGCCCAGTGGAGACGGCGTGGACGGATAGCGGGAGGCATCATCGGGAGCGGCGTTCGAGAGCGTGCATAGGGAAGTTGAATCTGATAAGACAGTGGTAGCTTTAATCATAGCTACTCTCACAGCATTAAATGCAGCCAGGAGTGTAATTACATAAAGGTACGTCGGATACACGCTCAGCAGAGCATTAAATGCTCATACTAACTCCCATCAGCTATAAATACGAGCGTGTTCTGCTACCATGGCGGAACTTTGGGCTATCTATCATGGGCTCAGATTGGCGTGGAACTCCGGATGCAGGGCCCTCATTTTGGAGGCAGACTCTCAATTGGCTATTCAGTTGGTGAACAACAGGACGGATCCTCTTCACCCTTATGCGACTCTCCTAACGGCTATTAGGCGCAAGATTTCTCTGGACTGGGTGGTCAGTCTGATTCATACGTACCGGGAAGGGAATAGAGTCGCGGACTAGCTCTCGAAGCACAGTCTCGTCTATCCCTACGGTATGTATGAATTGGATATACCGCCAAGTGAGCTCTCCACCCTCCTCCAGGAGGATGAAAGAGGCGTCACCTTCCCTAGAAAAGTGACTACCTCATCCCTTTCCTCTGCTAATCTTCCCCTGTAACCCTACCTTCTTTTCTTTGGCTTTGTGCCTCCTCCAATGCAAAAAAAAAAAAAAAAAAAAGAGGCTTAACCACATCATTTAATGGTAACTGAACTACCCACTCTCTATATACTTTCTCTCTCTAAACATATACTAATTTAAGCATCATAGGGTATCCGAGGCCCCCGCCTCCGGATATTTTCTGCATGGAAAGGAGCACGCTTGCGTCGAAGAAAAGGTGTAATCTTAACGGAAATGGTCTCCAACCCGCCTGGAACTTTCCAGACTTAAACAACATTTAACTCAAATAATATGAATAATTTGTGAATGTTATTAGTCTTTATGACAATCTAGTTATGATAATATGTATAACTATCGATTTTATTAGTATTTATAAAAGTATTAAAATTAATGATTTAAATCTTAAAATCTTACGATTTTACATATATGTTTCAATTTTAAAATCCTACACTATTCACGAGTTAAATCTTTAAAATCCGACAATTTTCAAGGAGTTTAATAATATTAAGGTCCATGTTGAGTGATTGAATTTGGACCAAATCGAACCTAGTTAAAAGAATAAGATTAAATTTTTTGAAATAAAAAAAATCGGTAAATTTTATTTATTTTTCCTCTTATTTGCAAAACATAATGCCTTTTTACTTCTCCTTCATCAACTTCATCTAATTCTATCTCACTAGCCACCATCGACATCAATTGACATCAACTCATTATTTATAACCTATGCACCACTTCCCAACATTAACTTTGAGAAATTTGAGTATTAACCTTGAGAAAAATATTATTTAAGTGTTTGTGTCTTTGTGTTAGTCATGATTTGCCTGACTAATATTATTTTGTGTTTGTTTTTATATGGACCTTAAAATCTTACGATTTTACGATTCAATTTTACAATTAAGATTAAATCCAAGTTTTCAATTTTAAGTGAAATTTCGACATTGACACTACAAGAAAATACATCTTCGATCACGGGATTTCCCGTGACGAAACAGCCATTTCCCGTTACTGAATCCCTTAGCCACGGGTAGATTCCCGTGACAAGCATGCGCGTGATTGAATGTCAATTGTCATGGGAAATCCCGTGACTAGAAATATAAAATTACGGGAAAAATCCCATAATAGAAGATCTATTTTGGCACGGTATTTCCCGTGACAAAGTATTAGACACGGTAAAAGTCCCCGTGACTGAAATAGATAATAGTCACAGGACATCCTGTGACTAATTAACATATTTGTCAGGGGATTTTGTCTGACAGTCACGGGAATGTTCGGGATGTGACCAAGTAAAAGCAACGGGTTTTGTTCCATTTGTAACGGTAAAGCCCGTGATGAATAGTTCTTACTGATCACGGTTATTCCCGTGATAAATAATTATTACCTGTCACGGGAAAATCCTGTTATTATTATTAGACATTAATCAATGATGACTAGTCACAGTATATGTTGTGATGGATATTAGCTATAAGTAACATGAAAGTCCTATTATAATAATTAAGAGATAAATCTCACTAGAAACAATTAGGAAGTCTTGGTAATCCACATATCATTTACTCGCCAACGCTAATTTACAATTCAGAAATCTAATTCTTGAAGCATTTTAGTCACATTGTACCTATATCATCACACATTGTACCTATCTAATTGATGATATCACAAAATATCAAATGCTTCAACAAAATAAGCTAGAGTAGTTTCTATCTTTCTTATAAACAAAATTACCATTGCACTCCACAACGTGCAAGGTCGAACTACTCTTGTTATGCTTCACCTTGGTTTCAGCCACCAACTTGTGTTGCAGTTCTGCATTAAAAAAAGAGATTACAAAGATTAGATTAGTTAAACAACACTATAAAACATGTACCAAAATCTTACATTAGATATACAATATGCTTATCATATGCTCCAAGATCTAGAAAATGCTCCATGGCAACTTTCCTTCTATTATCCCTACTGTATGCACTACTAAGACAAACAAACTTAAGCAAATATGCTGAAACTCTTATGAGATTGCAAAGGCTTCATATTACACTCAATAATGGGTAGATATTCGGATCATTGTTATGCATTCTCCGACATTTGGCCAAAAATTTATATAGTGCATTCATTGCCACAACTAATAATTCTAGAGCCAGTAAAAAAGAATCAGCTCTGTCCAAACAATGACAAATGACTGCTCAATAAAAGGCCACAAATTGAGTGTTATGTATCTACTTTTTTAAGTAACACCACTGTCCAATAAACAAAAAAATGCAGCTCTTTAAAGGTCATTAATTCAGTGTTCTAAAACTGCTTTCCTAAGTAGCAATACTCTCCAAATAAGAACAAAACAACAGCTCAATAAAAGGATAGGAATTCAGCATTCTCTAACCAAACAACCAAAACACAGCAGCTCATCAAAGAACCATAAACTAAGTGTTCTGAAATTACTTTCATGAGAAACTACACTCTCCATCCACAAAAACAATGACAACTCAATAACTAGCCAGGAATTCATCATTCTGAAACTGTTTACATAGGCAACCTCTCCAGACAACTAAAAAAATAGCAGCTCAATAAAATGATAGAAATTCAGTGTTCTTTATCCAATCAACAATAAATAGCAGCTCAATGAACATATAAAAGTTCAGTGTTCTAAAGTTGTCAAGGAGGAAGAATTATACGTACCTAATGTTGTCTATTTTGACTACTTGCGAACATCTCTTGCAATTTCTTCATTTCAGCCTTCATATTGGCCATCTCTTCAGCTTGTTCAGAAACAGTACCCTTCAGTTCGATGACAGACTGTTGAAGAGCTTCCTTTTCTTCATCTGACTGTCTTAATTGGGCTTCCAAATTCGCATCCGTTGCATCCTTTGTGGAAGTTGAGCTCTTTAAATCCTTAGGCCTCAAGCCACCTCCAAAACAAATCACATGACCACGCTTTTATTCTCCTAAGATTGCTTCTACCACTTCAAGTGCAGTGAAGTCCGAATTTGCTTCCATTATCTCAAGTATTTTAGCCTAATCAAGAACACACACCACAGTTAAAATAGTCAAGCAACCTAAGTGATTAGAGACAAGAATTTTGAATAGAAGTTACATGTCTTTCATTTGCTTCATCATCTTTTATCATGTCTCCTTCTTTATAGGTCTCAAACACTAGCTCAGCTACAGTTGGAGGTCTTCCCAACTTCTCTTCCTACAAGCAACACATATATATAATAATATAATACATGTTAGAATAGAAACAAACAATTTTGGTAGCATGCTGTCTTTGTATTCCTGTTACTTTTGTTCTTTAATCGATACATAAGCATTAAATAGAGTTTGGATTAGTAGACAACTAACTTCCGTAACACTAGAGTAACATATATATAATAATACAATTACAAGTAAAAAACAAGGAATTTGGCAGCAGGCTGTCTTTGTATTACTACTATAGTTATATTACTTTGGTTTTTTAATCAATACAACAAGCTACTAAATATAGATTGGAAGTTTTAGAACATTTAAATTCAAAATAACTTAAAGGATGAAGGTAAACAACAAATACCAAATCGAGCGCAATTTGTCGAACGGGTCTTCTTCCACTATGTTGATTCATTGTTTTCAACGCTCTGTTCTCCTCATTGGTCTTCCTCATCTTCTATATAAAGAGAAAATTGAATATCAAATAAAATATCAAATTCCATTGAGCTAAAGCAGAATGCCAAAGTAGTAAAGTATTATGATATTACCTTAAATTCTTTACAAAGGAACTTTTCCTTCACGAGCCACTCCCAATCCTCTTTACTTAGGAATTCCGGAACATCATTGAGGATGTCTCCCACTCCAACCTGACAAATTCGCATAAGAAGGGAAGTCGTTGATTGTCCACAGTAAGGAAGCTCGCAGTTGAAAATTTTGCTACTTTGATGCATCAAATGTATTCACACCTTCTTCCCACAAACTCTTCAAGTCTTCTATTAAAGGCTGCAAATATACATCTATCGCATAACCAGGACTATCAGGACCAGGAATTAACATTTAGAGAATGAAATTTGAGGGCTTCATGATGATCCAAGGAGGCAAGTTATAAGGGATTAACAACACCGGCCATATACTATATGGGGTTTTCGAATTCGTGAATGGTTGAAAACCATCGCTAGCAAGAGCGAGTCTCACATTTCGCGGGTCACTTGCAAAGAAATGGTGGCTTTGGTCGAATGATTTCCAAGCTAGCGAATCCGCTGGATGCCTCATAACCCCATCCATTGCCTTGTTCTCATGATGCCAGCGCATTAGGGAAGCAGTCTTAGTGGACATGAACAACCTTTGCAGTCGTGGTTTTATTGGGAAATACCGCAAAACCTTTTTTGGGATCCTTTTTCCCATTTGCTTTGCACACTACTTCTCCACTGTGCTGATCAATTTTCCATCGAGACTATTTACAAACCTTGCAAGTATCAAGATTGGCATCATCCTTTCTAAATAACATGCAACTGTTTTGACATGCATCAATCTTGACGTATGAGAGCCCAAGATCCTTATTGATTTTTTTTGTTTCATAATAAGAATCCGGCAAATTAGAAGCTTCAGGCAGAAGCTCTTCTTTCATCATTTTGAGCAACATAGTAAATGATTCGTTGCTCCATTTGCCTTGAGCCTTGATGTGAAGGAGTTTTAATAGTGTTGTTAATTTGGAGCTCTTGCAACCATCATACAATGGTTGTTCCGAATCAATTAACAACCTATAAAACTTATCTGCTTCATCATTTGATCTCTCATTGTATGTATCCTCCATATCCATGGCGGTTCCATTATCATCAAGATCAACATTAGGATACAGATCTCTCAGCATATCAAACATGTTATTTGACTTGTCAGTTGCTTCATTCCATGACCCCAATGACTCACCCAGCTTCTCCCCATGGTGACACCAAAAAGTGTAATTTGAGGTCATTCCATGAATCAACAAATGTCTCTCTACACTTGCACGAGTTCCTTGTCTCCCGTTGAAACATTTAACACAAGGACATCTAATTTCCTCTTCTCCTTTATTCATTTGAAATGCATAATCTAGAAATTCTGTAACCCCATTTCTATATTCCACATTCAACTTGTTGCTCACAAGATTCATCCATTGTTTACTAGGTGCCATTTCCTAATGTACAAAGAAAACACGTCACATGTTGTATCTTAAAATTTGAATATTGGTTTATTTTGCAAAAGGATCCTAATTTCATAAAAAGAGGCACAAAGTCTTCTAAGTTCAACTTTTAGTTTCTCCTTTCACCTTTTAAGTTCAAATTTTCATTTATAAGTTCAACCATTAAATTTTAAGTTCAGCTTTTAATTTCTAAGTTCACTGTATTATACTACTCCAGCTTCTTCATTCACAAAGAAAGGAGGCAAACTAGTAACAAAATATCATGTATACAACTAGATCTAAAGTTAAAACTTGATGTTTGGAAACAAATTCCATTTCCTCGTACCCCATTATGGAGTAAGAGAAAATTCAGATAGGCAAGGAAAAAATAAAGTTAAGAAATGCATACCAGCATACCAATAGCTTAGTAGTAACAGAAGCCTCTTGTCACCACCAAACCCAAGATGGAACCGTATGTGGACAAGACTACTAACAACAAAATGATGCAAGAAGGTACCTTGGGTGTCAAGCTAGCTAAACGGTGACGTTTTTATCTTCAGCTGACCAGCCTTCAACACGTCGTCGTCTTGACACCAATGGACAAAAGCAGGCGAGTCGTCCTTCCAAGTTGTCAACTGAAAGCTTCGAGATGATCAAAACCTAGCCACCCACCTACATTCTTCCAGGAGCGGGGCATAGCAAGCCATGACTGGCAAATCGATTTCCTCAAGAAACCGATCTTCAGAAGGAACACACTCAACCTCCAGAGGAGCGTCTTCATCCTAGCCAACGGTCATCTTCTTTCTTCGGATATATATAGGTATGATCTTTCTTAATTTAGATTCGACTGTTGATTAGAAGAAAATAAGCAGAGAGCATATTTGTCTTCCTTGAGTCCACTGTGTATTCTCTTTAAGCTACCTAATTCACAGTGCGTGGTGCTGGGTGAATTAGGTTTAGGAAAAGAGGTTTCTTCGGTTTTTGTTTTCTGTCAAAGGGCCAACGTTGTTTGGCGTAGCCTTCGGGCTCGGTGTATTTCTTTTACTCTTTGTAGTTCTTCTCTTTCAATCAATACAATTTTCTGTTCATAAAGTGTCTAAGAGAAAGAGAGATTAAGTAAGGTGTGAACTTGAGAGGATCTCTCTAATCCAGGTTTCTACAATTGGTATCAGAGCTGGGTCTTTGAAGGATTTAAGCTTCGCCAAAGACGATCACTAGAATGGCCGGATCACAACCAGCTTCCGGTTCCTACTCGGCAAATACAAACCCGCCATGGTTTGATGGCACAGACTACACTGTGTGGAAGAAGAGAATGAGGATCTATCTTCGAGGAGTCGATGGTGGATTGTGGGCGATTGTCAAGAACGGGCCAATCCCTATGGATTATGAAGAAGAAGAAAAGTGGGAAGATGATCAAAAGATATCCTCCCAGCAGGACTCAAGAGCAATGCATATCCTATTCTCTGCTCTCAGTCCAGAAGAAAGAAGCCAAGTTGCGCAGTGTGAAACAGCCAAGGAGATCTGGGAATCTCTTGAAACTACACATGAAGGTACATCTGAGGTAAAAGAAAGTAGAATAGATGTACTACTTAATGAATATGAATCCTTTGAGATGTTTTCAGGAGAAACTATCACAAGCATGTATAAAAGGTTTAATGACTTGATAAACAGACTTAAAGGGTTAGGAAAAACTTTTGCTACCAAGGATCTGGTTAGAAAAATCCTAAGGAGTTTACCTAGAGAATGGCTCCCAAAGAGAACTGCTATAGAAGAAGCAAAGGACTTAAATGTGCTATCAATTGAAAGATTAGTAGGTTTATTGCTTAGTCATGAAGAAGTAATAGTCCAAATGAACAAAGAAGACAGTAAACGAAAGAAAGTCATAGCTTTCAAGGCACAGGACTATGAAAGTGAATCTGATTATGAAATGGGAGAAGAATTTGAAAAAGAATTTGCTCTAATTAGTAGGAAGTTTCATAAAATGCTAAAAATGAAGAGAGAATTTGAAGATAGAAAGAACTATGGAAACACTAGACCATTTAACAATAGAGTATATGAGTCTAGGAGAGGTAAAGAAATAGAAAGGACAGCTGGTCGTTATTCTCAGAATGATAAGAATGTGTTTAAACGATTAGAAAGGCCAGCTGAGGAACGAGAAAGGAAAGGTCAGGAAATTAAGGAAGACCATAGGTCTTCCAGTGAAAAAGAATTAACTGTTTGTTTCAAGTGTGGTAAGACAGGTCATATGAGGTCTAGATGCCCTCTAAATCTAAAGAGACAAGAGAAGGCTATGGCAGTCTCATGGAGTGACTATAGTTCAGAAGAGGAAACAGAAACAAGAAACCTAGCCTATATGGCTTTTGCAACTAAAGATGAAAGTGAGTCATCCTCAGGGCTGAGCAGTAATCAAGGACATCCATCCAGCTATCAGGTAATATTTGATTCAGAATCTGAGAAAAGTGAGAACCCTGGCTCAAAGTCAGAATTTTTGCATGCTTTAAAAAATCTTCAAGAAGAATGCAATAGACTTAGGAGTAGATATTGCTTGTTGATGACTGAAAATCATAATATGACTAAAAAATTGTGTGAATTAAAGGAAATAGTTGCTGTTCAGCATGAAAATGAGAATGATCTTAGGAAACAGATCTTTGAGCTAGTAGATGAAAATCAAAAATTAAAAAGGAGCCTACACGTTAATACTCACACAGTGTCCAGAGATACTGCTTGCAGAACCAGAACATGTTACATACCCTCTAAAAGGATACATGATTCATCTAATAGTAGGATAGAACATCAAAAGGAGTATGCAGAAATATATGTATGCTCTCACTGTAAACGCAGAGGTCATTTGGCAAAATTTTGCTATGATCTTCTGAAACCAAAAAAACCTGTCAGATACAAAACATTTTGGGTACCAAAATGTGCTAACAAATGATTGATTGCAGAATCTGGGAGAAAAGGAAAACATTTGGTACCTGGACAGTGGGTGCTCCCACCACATGACAGGTAGAAAAGAATTATTTTCTTCTTTAGAATTTAAAAGAGGAGGTAAGGTTGTTTTTGGTGATGACAGAGTTGGTAAAATCATAGGAAATGGAACCATTGGTAAGAGCCCCCTTCCTGTTATAAAAGATGTCTTGTTTGTTGAGGGCCTAAAACACAATCTTCTCTCAATCAGTCAGTTGTGTTGTTCTGAAAACAGAGTAGTTTTTGAAGCAAATTCTTGCAAAATATCTAGGATCAGAGATAACAAACTACTGTTCTGTGGCATAAAGAAAAACAATATGTATGTCGTCAATCTAAACAGTTTAGAGACATTTAATGAAACGTGTTTTCACGCAGCATCAAATGAACTGGAAATTCTTTGGCATAGAAAATTAGGACATATTTGCATGTCAAAACTGTCAAAATTATCAAGACTTGAATCTGCACGTGGCATTCCCAAGTTAAAAGATAAGCCTAACTTCTTCTGTGATGCATGTGCAAGTGGTAAGCTAACCAAGAAAAGTTTCAAATTAAAGAAAGACATAACTACCTCACAGGTATATGAGTTAGTGCATATGGATCTATTTGGACCAACAAATGTGGTAAGTCTTGGAGGTAAATCCTATGCTTTTGTTCTTGTTGATGATTTCTCACGCTTTACTTGGGTATATCTCTTAGCATCAAAAGATGAAGCATTTGGAATGTTTAAAACATTCGTCTCAAAAGTTTTGAATGAGTCTGATACTGGGATTAAAGCAATTAGGAGTGACAATGGGGGAGAATTTATATCAGACCAATTCATTGCCTTATGCAATGATAAAGGAATAAATCACACATTTTCAGCCCCTAGGACACCACAACAGAATGGAATTGTAGAAAGAAAGAACAGAACAATAATAGAAACTGCCAGAACCATGTTATTGGAATATGGTAGTCCTAAGTTCTTATGGGGAGAAGCTGTAATGACAGCTGTTTATGTAATAAATCGAGTACTAATTAGAAAACAATTGGAAAAAACTCCATATGAAATCTTGAAACATAAAACACCAAATTTAAGTTACTTTCACCCATTTGGGTGCAAGTGCTATATTTTAAATACCAAGGACTACTTGTACAAATTTGATGCCAAGGCTGAGAAGGGAATATTTCTTGGTTACTCTATAAAAGGACAAGCGTATAGAGTATACAATCTGAGAACCAGGCGAGTAGAAGAGTCAGTCTTTGTGAAATTTGATGAATCTGCTTGTGGTGAGAAAGTTGCTGCAGAAAACGTTGAACTTCTGTTCCCAATATCAAACATCAATGAAGTAAAAACAGAAGACGAGGAGGGAAGCCTGAAGCAGGACAAAGAATTCACTGAGGAACCTTCCAGCCAACCAGAAGAAAGAGTAGCACCTGCACATATACAAAAGCGACACCCTGCATCACAAATCATTGGAAATCTGGAAGAAGGAATACACACCAGAGGTAAGTATTACCCAGGTCAGTATGCACTTGTCTCACTTCTTGAACCAAAGAATTATAAAGAAGCCTTGGGTGATGATGAATGGTTACATGCTATGCAAGAGGAACTCATACAATTTGCAAGATTGCATGTTTGGGAATTAGTACCAAGACCTTTTAACAAACTGATTATAGGAACAAAATGGGTTTTCAGAAATAAAACTGATGAACTAGGGGAAATTACAAAAAACAAGGCTAGATTAGTTGCTCAGGGATACTTACAAGAAGAAGGAATAGATTTCGAAGATTCATTTGCACCTGTTGCTAGAATTGAATCAATCAGAATGCTGTGTGCCTACGCCTGTTATATGAAAATTCCCCTATAT